ATCTTCGCACGGGCAGCCCGTGCGTTGGCCATTTATTGTTATTTTTGATGCATTCGGACAGAGCTTATGTGCACATAATTAAACATGGGAATATGATATAGTCATCAGTTTCTACGAAGCTGTGGTCATTGTCAAATACTTCTAGCCTAATAGACAAATATATTAATACTAGGAAAGAAAAAGTAAATTTGATTATATAACATTAGTAAATCAGCTCATGAATAAGCTAAGAAGGGCAAATAATAAATACCATTCAGCGATAAAAATTATTTCGTGGATAAAATAGTAATGAAAGGCGAGTAATATGCCTAACCGAGAACAGGTTTAGAAGAGAGAGTAAGAAAGGAGCGTATTTGAGGTTGAGCGAAGAGGGTAACTTCCTGACAGATTCTGGTACGGTTCAGTTTCGTTTTAGCTGAGATGCAACGAGTTCTTGATGCAAAAGTATAGGCCGGAAAAACAATTTACCTTAATTGATCTAAGTGACAGTAATTGAAGCCTGGCAAATGATGCCTGCAAGATTTATCACATATGACAATTAGCAGGAGTACCATGTCCGAACATTTCCCGCATGAGCATTTTCCGATCTTCCCAATATACATTTTATTATTTTATTTCAAGCACCTGGGAATTTTGCCAGTCATATTCCGGCGCTCCTTCTTTAAACCCCGTCTTTAGTTCTTTGCCTTATTTCCTACCGTTTATTCGATTATCCCGGCATGTGCTGATGGGGTGAGGGCCACTTCCTCAACTTTTATCATGAGATATACGAAGCGAAGAAATTTTAAATTGCTGCGCTCAGTCCTGCGCTAAATCCTGTTCCTGTCACAGTGATGGTGATGGTGGTGAAAGAATTGACGAGGGCAGATGCGGTGTGCTGAGGATTCTATAGTGTTGAGTTGTTCATCTAGGAGATCTGCTCGGATGTCCCACGGCTCTGCTTCAGCAGCACTAGCTCATCGTTTCGGACATTTCTTTATCGTTATCAGAATGTATGAGAACAGTTTAATACTGTTAGTACTGTACTGCACTGTTGGGAGCAAACACATCTGTGCGAGTGCATGAGAGAAGGTCATCGGAAAGGGGGGAGGAGGTTGGGATAACATGCGCTGACATTGGGACGTTATTTCCTCCGCTTCCAGTAGATTGTTGTAATAGTATAACTACTGACCGCTGTCTTCGCTGACCATTTCTTCATCGATGCTTTCCGTAATGTCGAACTGGAGTGATGCGTATTGTGTAGTCTAACGGTGCTTTAGCTCGATTTTTACTGATTAGGACCAAAGATAACGCTACAGTACAGCGAGCCTCTGGTGCGCTGCTCAGTTTCGATATCCCCTTATCTGTCATCTTTGTTTGTACTGAGCATTTTCGAGGACCAGCGTGTCAAGTTGTTTGCATGTTAAAACAGTTCAGATGTTCGCATCTGCTTTTGCTTTTTTTGTGCGTTTTTGCATACGTGCAAATGCAAAAACGCATATTGGCAAGAGGCTCTCTCTGTATGTGTCTGCATGTTCGCACTTTTTGTCACCCACTTTCAATTCGAGAACTAGAAATCTTAAAAGGCTGAGACTTCGGGAGTATGTGCTACCACCTATGCAACCGTCCTGTTTTAATACCATCACCCACGTACCCCCAGGTGCCACGTGCGGACGCCTTAAAAAAATGTGCAGTTTTTTTCGCGGGAAAGCGATCTCGGCAACCAGAAAAGATAGAGAGCTGAATCTTTGCATGGATATTTTCTGTGCATTTATGAGCTAAAGGTTTCAAATTTAGCCCTTAGTTATGTGTGATTCACACATGCAGGCACATAAAATTTTTGTCGGGAAAATTGCTAACTCGTCAACTGGAAAACCTGGCGGGCTGAAATTTTGAGGGTATATCTTTCGTCAACATACAAATTAAAGTTTTCAAATTCAGCCCTCGGTACGTGTGACACCTGCATACGGACATGTGAAAGTTTCTGCGGAAAAATTATTAACTCGGGAATCAGAAAAGCTAGAGAGCTGAAATTTTGGGCGATGTTCTTTGTCTATGTACAACTTAAACTTTTCATATTCAGCCTATAGATATGCATCTTTCTCACGTATGGACATTTAAAAGTTTTGGCGGTAGAATTGCTCAGAGAGCAGCTATGTCACTTTTAACGAACGACCGTTAAGTGGAAATTGTTCATTTGTTTTATGTAAAATTTATGATGATTTACGCTAGTGAGCGGGAAAGGTAATTGCAAAGCAATAATTATTCATGCAGTTAACGACCTGAGTATTTCAAGTCCGGTGCAAAAACAAAAACAAAAATCTTGGTGCATTTCAACCTAAGTTTAGATAAAATTTGTACGCTTGACAACAGTTTGCACTTGTTTTCTTGTCTTTTCTCTGCCTTCATTGCTCTGTTCTTACGCTGTTTAACAAATATTCATAACACACATGGCTGGTGGGAAGTGGTTCCCCCTTCCCTCGTTTCACCCTACCCGCATACTGCACTCGGTCTGTGTTTGCAGCTAAAGAATGAAACACAGACTGCACTTAAACGTCATCTTGCACACGGCACTTAGTGCAGCCCCTTATTTCCGATTCTATTATTCCAGTTTCTTCTTCCCCCGCCCTCCTCACCCACGTCGATATCTCGCCATTCAGATAGTGTGCACTTTTTTTGTAATTTTTTTTTTTGGCAGACAAATTCTTTCGCGATAAACCAGTTTTAAAATGGATTGCTAAATAATTATCCCGCAAATCTTGTAATATCTTGTGAGCACAAAACAAGATCTCTCGCTTTCGTGTGTTTGATTTTAGAGCAGTTTTCTACATTTGCCTTAAACAAGGAGTAGGTTAAGCATGACAGGTAGTCAAGACAAAGTTTTCTTGCGGTTGGCTTGGTCCCTCTATGGTGGAGTGCCTTCGTGTTCGTCATCAGTGTCCAGCTCATTTTTCATAATTTTGCATATGCAACCCCAAATTTTTGTGGATGAGAATTCTGTTTCAGTGTGAAAGTGAAAGTGGCGGACGATGGCAACGGTTGATAGTCGCAGTGGTCGACGAGTGATGTATGATGAGAAGAGCTGCTGTGATGTACGACTACTTCGAGTTATCATTTACTTCTTCAATTTCCTCTTCTATGTTAGTAATTTACTTCGTACTTCTTCAATGTGTTCTTTTATCCTAGTGCAAGCATGTTTTTTTCGGTCTGTCGCTATCCACTGCAGGCCAATTTCAAGCATTTTGCCTCAGCATAGCCTTGTCAAACAGCCAAGGCAGTGTGTGCTGTAGGTTTTTACCGCATTATGCAGTAAAAATTTTATTGAGATGAGATGAGCGTGAGGGAGGGGAGAAAGGCGAAGAAGGAAGATGTACGCCCAATTGCCTCACTTTAGCGCGATTTGAAGCGACAACAATCAAAGATTTACTTTCATCTGGACGCTGTAATGTACGATCATTGGTAGTTGAGCAATCTCCGATAGCGATCTTGTCAAGTCGACGTTGGCGTGGATAGGTCGGCGGTTGATTTTTTGGTTGATGATTGGAAGAAAAAAGCTGGCGTAGCAATTGACGACTGATGATCAGGGCGAGGATCGAGGCACGGCTGCTGGCAGTTGATTTGTGAAAATTTGAGTCCAGTAATAAGATTTTGGTGGGTAGTGATGATAAGGAAGATTCTCCACTGCACAAGGAAGAAGGGCATGATGCATTTTCGTTGCTGTGCTTGCTATTCTAATATGTTAAAATGAAATTAGTTTTTTGACAAAGGGGGGGGGGGG